GTGGAGCAGTGCTAATGATTGTTTTCCTTTTGTACAGAATATTATGAATTCAACAGCTTTGAACAGTTTTGCATCAATTACTGCAATGAGAAACTCCAACAGCTTTTTAATGATAGGATTCTTAAACAAGTAAGTTTAGATATAAACAAGATATTGCAAGGGCATGAATTATTAGATGCCAGGTGGTACCTTGACCAGTCTACATGTGTTCGCACACAGCATCGTCATTGTCATTATCATCGTTAGTATCGTCATCATCAAAGTAACCTTTGTCATTTTCATCATCGTCATCCCCATTTCTTTTTCGATACATTGCTGTTTTATTTGAAGTTTTGTTTGCCTGGAAGTGTAATGCAGTTTTTTCTCTCTTGTGCTAATAACAGGAGCAAGAGCTCTATGACAAGGAAGGTCTGGGAGTCAAAACTGTTACATATGTTGACAATCAAGACTGCATTGGTGAGTTCACGTTCCAAAAAGTACAACACTCTCACTTTCCCACTTCCACCCAGCTCATTGTTTTACCCACACCCACTTCCATCCAGGTCATTGTTACCCACCCTTCCCCAGTTTGACCCAGGTCATTGTGTTACCCACCCCACTTCCACCCAAGTCATTGTGTTACTCTCCACTTCCTCCCCAGTCATTGTGTTACTCTCCACTTCCACCTAGGTCATTGTTTTACCCACAACTACTTCCATCCAAGTCATTGTGTTACTCTCCACTTCCTCCACGGTCATTGTGTTACTCTCTACTTCCACCTAGGTCATTGTTTTACCCACAACTACTTCCATCCAAGTCTTTGTTACCCACCCTCCCCCACTTCCACCCAGGTCATTGTGTTACCCACCTGCTTCTGCCCAGATCATTGTGCTACACTGTGTTGTGTTCTTAAGGAAGACAGTTTTAATTACTCTTGCACTATCATAGTGCCTCTCTGTAAGGTTAACCAACAAAAGGAATCTAGAATGGACTACATGTAGCAACCCATGCAAGGGGATTGCACTGTACACAGAACTTTTAATTGCCACTTACTGTGATATGGAAGGTCTGGGTCACTTCCATAGATGAAAATAAATACTGTGGGATACCAATTAAACTAGATAAATTAAACTAAGTACTCTGAAGAAGGCAGCAACGGCAAAAACGTTCTATATTTAGTATCAGGGTCAACGAATACTATTTCAGGCCTTCAGTTAGTAGGGGAGCAGCACATGGAAAACAGAATTTGTAGAAGTAGGAAATTCCTTGGGATTTTTTTTTAGTGTTTCTTCTTTCACTGTTCTCCCTGCTTATCCTGTTTCTCATGCTGCTCTCCACCTAACTGAATGGTTACTTTGCACCAAGTGTCTTTTGCTGTCAGATCTAGAGAGTCCATTGTGTGGTCCATCCGAATTATACTTCTATTGTTTTACAAAATAAATAANCCACCCAGGTCATTGTGTTACCCACCTGCTTCTGCCCAGATCATTGTGCTACACTGTGTTGTGTTCTTAAAGAAGACAGTTTTAATTACTCTTGCACTATCATAGTGCCTCTCTGTAAGGTTAACCAACAAAAGGAATCTAGAATGGACTACATGTAGCAACCCATGCAAGGGGATTGCACCGTACACAGAACTTTTAATTGCCACTTACTGTGTTATGGAAGGTCTGGGTCACTTCCATAGTTAAAAATACATGTAAATACTGTGGGGTACCAATTAAGATAAGTACTCTGAAGAAGGCAGCAACGGTAAAAACGTACCATACTTAGTATTTGGGTCAATGAATACTATTTCAGGCATTCAGTTAGTAGGGGAGAAGCACATGGAAAACAGAATTTTGTTGAAGTAGGAAATTCCTTGGGATTTTTCTTAGTGTTTCTTCTTTCACTGTTCTCCCTTCTTATCCTGTTTCTCATGCTGCTCTCCACCTAACTGAATGGTTACTTTGCACCAAGTGTCTTTTGCTGTCAGATCTAGAGAGTCCATTGTGTGGTCCATCCGAATTATACTTCTATTGTTTTACAAAATAAATAAGGATTATAATGTCCGTCAACTGTACCAATGCATTGCAGATCTGATTGAAGCCAAAAAGACAGGAATCATAGACATTCTGGATGAAGAGAGCAAACTCCCTAAACCAACAGCAGAACACTTCACTCGGGAACTTCACCAGAAACACAAGAACCACTTCAGATTGGCGGTAGGTATTTACTTCTGCAACTCCATACATGAGAATGTGTGATTCATTGGGAGAATCTGTTAGTGAACAATTTTCTGTATTGTTATCACCTTTTTGTGTAACAATATTTAGCTCTTATTAACCGAGCAGGAGGTCTGTATGAGAGAATCTTGACCGAGGTTGTGACCGAGGTCTAGATGCCGGTCTAAATGCCGATCTAGATGGGAAAATCTAGACCGCGGTCAATATCGATTTCAGCCAATCAAATTCGTGAATTCGGTAGTTCCCAGTCCTTGTGAGACACAGCCATGTAATAATGTTAAATATTGTAAGGACAAATTGGATGTAGAAGCCCTAACTACATCTTCTACCTGTAAAATTCAGAAACGAACAAAGCCTTCACTTAAAACATAGATGAATTCTCAGTAGATGAATGAGTTGTGTTTATGAACAAGCCTAAAAAGGTTGTAAATCAAACTATTCATAACTTTNCCTTTCCCAAACCTACTCTTACATGTATCCTTAAGCCTTAAGCCTTAAGCCTAATCTTACCTTACCTTACCTTATTCCCTGTCTCAGCAACATCTGATCTGCACATTTTACATGTGCAGCTAATTGAGTTAACTTATATTTTCTGTCAACAGACACAGCTGAATCAACTGATGGAAAAACTCGGCAACACTGTACGTGAAATCCTTTTAAAAGTTTTAAATGTTTAAAATGTTGCGTAAGTTTTAAATCAGCCGTCATTTAATATATCTGGGGGATCTTTGGCCAATTGACTGGTTACGACGCTAGTGCTGTAATCCACAGTTCCGAGCCGGATTTGTTCATGGTAGTCTCCAGATCAACTCTTGATCGTCGAGCTTTTTAAATACCCAACTGTCGGCCCCCCGTCAATAAGAATGCTTCAAATGTCACAGTCGAAGTTCAACGTGCTTGTGTTTTTTTGTGTGACTGAGCGGCATTCTCTGGCCGTAGTTTTGAGGTAGCTGTGACTGCTATAATCAAGCATAACTTTCATGAACATCTTAAACGAGAAACACCGGGAACGAAATTTTGAGATTTGCATGTAGTCAGGAACAAGACGCTTACCAAAGGAATTTAATCTGGTAAAAGATAGCGCCTTATATCTAACTCTTGTTGTTTACCAGGGTGCAAGTTTCATTCGATGCATCAAGCCGAACGGAAAGATGTGTGCTCGGGATTTTGAAGGCGGCTCCATCTTGAGTCAGTTGGAATGCGCGGGCATGGTGTCTGTTTTGAAATTGATGCAGGATGGCTGGCCATCCAGGGCACCATTCAAAGATCTCTATCAAATGTGAGTGGAAAGCTGTGCAAGTAAAAAAAAGAACTGAAGTGATTTGTTGAGTTGTGTTGTGTCGTGTAGAGTACAGGTAGCAGACGCTGGTTTCATGCTTACTCGAGAAAGGGAGTAAAAGAAATGGCTTGTACATGGTATTAAGGTTCTTTTTCGGTTGGCATAGATGACTTTACCTTTCAGCTTTGCGACAGCAGTAGAAATGTGTCTCTGTAGCATCAATTGTGTTAATTAGTTAGTTGGTGAAAATTTGCAAGTGAAGTGGCGAGAACTTGAAGATAGATAGTCCGTGACTCAGGTTCCTCTCAAAATATCCAAACCGTGTAGAAAATCCAGTATAACGTAAATTTACAAGAGGAAGCCTGCATTGCAAGTTTGTTAACCAGGGGAGCAATGAGTTGAAATCGCTTACGAGCCTTAAAGGAGCTCAGTCACAATATTTTGAGTTGTTTTGGCCACGTACAAAATTACCTTTAAATCGAACGAAACCTGAAAATAATAGTTTACTAAGATAGAAAAACACCAAAGAGATAATAATAAACCGTAAAGGAACAGGGATGTTTAGGGATGGAGAAGATTGACACGGATTACAAACAACTAATTGAACAATTTTATGCTAAACTTTTCAAAATGTACAAACCGTGACGTAAAATTGTAGGCTTTGCCATTGGACATTGGAGAGAACTTGACGCCACTAGTTTTGTCTTCAGCGGTGGCGTTAGAATGGACTGTTATAATCTGATGCTGTCATGCTTTTGTTTTGGTTTCAGGTACAAAGACTATTTACCTCCTCGACTTGCACGACTCGATCCAAGAATGTTTTGCAAGGTCATCATTGAAGTTCCTGTTGTTTTGGCTTTTTGTTCCTTGGCTAGATCTTTAACTTAAATAATTACTATGTTGTTGTTGTTGTTTTTTTATAGGCGCTGTTTCACGCCCTTGGTATGGATGAAAAAGATTACAAGTTTGGTCTTTCCAAGATCTTTTTCCGGCCTGGCAAGGTTAGTGTAGAAAAAAAACACTGTTACGACGGGAATTACGTTTCTCTCAGCTCTTCTTGCATGCATGTTGGTGCAACGTAAAACATTGCCTGCAGTGGACTCTCGACACCTTTGTTGAAACAAGCTTTGTAGGTTTGACTTAAGTGAATTAAGGCGAGTGAAAAGCAGGACGGAGAGAGATGGGGCGAAAAGAGGAATAACATACTCTTTTCAGGAAGTGCGCGGGACTCCGGATCGAGTGGTCCGGGTTCGAGCGCTGGCTGGGGATATTGTGTTGTGTTCTCAGGCAAGACACTTTACTCTCACAGTGCCTCTCTCCACCCAGGTGTATAAATGGGTACCGGAAAATTGTTGGAGCGACCTGACAGAATGCAGTGGAGTAACTTGCGATGGATTACCATCCCATTAGGGGGAAGTAGCAATACTCCTAGCCGCTTCATGCTACAGAAACCGGAGTTAAGTGCCAAGGGTAAAGGGCCAGTTGGGTTTAAGGGCACTTTGCTTTTTTTTACTATGGAGAAGAGGGCAGGTTACATGCTGGGCGACAGATGGCAATTGTGGTACTTAATATGTCTCTTTTTTTCATCGAAAGTTTGCAGAGTTTGATGAGATCATGCATTCTGACCCTGAGAGCCTGAAAAACATCATTTCGAAAGTTCTTACCTGGTTGATCAGAACACGGTGGAGACGAGCCATCTGGGGAACACTGTCCGTCATTAAATGTAAGAGTGGATCACTACAAGTTCTTATTTAGGCCTTTAGTTCATAACCTACGGAACACTGAAGAATCATTGTCAGTAAAATTTCTGGAGCCAGTAGTTCAGTTTGGAAACCGCTTGCTGCGTTTTTCGTAGAAGAGTAAGAATCGCAAAGTCATCGATGCATCTGAAAATGTCCCTTGTTTCTGTTGCCGTAAGTGGAAAAACAACAAAACAATAACAACAAGCGCGGGGAGGAAACGACGTTTCAGTGCCATCCTTGGACTATTTTCAAGTTGAATGTAACACAATAAAAAATTGAATTTATGCTGAAGTTGAGGTTATAAAAGAAAATGTTTCGAGACTAAAATAATTGTTCATTGCTAATCTATTTGTGTAGTGGTTTGCCCGCATGTACAGTAATTATCATTATGATTCAGAATATCGCACCTTTATGAACACTAAACAATTATTTTAGTCTTATATNAAGAACAAATGGAACTGGAGAGAAAGAGAAGAGAAGAAGAGGAACGGAAGAGAAAGCAAGAAGAAGAGGACAGAAAATTGTAAGTAAATGGCGGTTACTATGCACTTTTACCCGGCCTCGGCCATTTTCGTTTGGCTCGTCACGCAATCACTACAACACAAACGAATGGCAGTGGGATAGAAGAGGGATTGTTCGTGACTAAACCACAGGATAAACGGAACTTTACACAGAAAGATACGTGTACATGCATGTGCAGGTTGACATCATTTTTGTATTTTGTAACTCATAGCAAAGGTGGAAATAATTTTGTAGGGTGTTAAAGTGACTAGCGTCACAGATGTTTACTGATTGTGACCCACTAATTATGGACTTCTTACTTTTTTGGTACACAGGAGAATGGAAATGGAGGCGAGACGGAAACTGGAAGAGGAAGAACAGCTCAAACGGGAAGAAGAAGAAAGAAAGAGAAGAGAACGAGAAGAGGCTGACAGACAGGTCCAGGTGGGCAGACAGATAGAAAGTCGCCAGTGGGCAGGCAGGCAGGCAGGCAGGCAGACAGAGAGACAGACAGAGAGACAGACAGAGAGACAGACATGACTGCAGGCAGCCAGGAAGTGAAGGAAGGCATGAAAACAGCGAGTCAATAAAACACTTCGTAAATTATTAACTCGGAATTGAGAAAGGTAAATTTTGATAGTGGATTTGGGAAACCTGACGCTTTGAGAGTTAGCCCTTCATTGGAGCAAAAATCTGTAAGACAGTCAGTGAGTACAGTCAGTGAGTCAGTCAGACTAAGAGACAGACAGACAACCCCAGGGACAACCAGACAGAAGGACTGGCAGACAGACAGACGGACAGACATATCGGCCGACAGACTGGCAGACAGAGTCAGTGGCAGACAGACAGAACGACATACAAATGGGTCGGTGACCAGTCAGTCAGGCGGATAGACTAAACAAGACTAGCTTGCCACTCTCCTCCTCCCATTCACATGTTTACCCAAGTTTGAAATCCTGGTTGTTTCTCAAGATCGGACAGCTCGCCTACAACATGTCAATGGACACGTTTCTATCGATCCATTCTAGGCTTTAAAGGCTAAAGAAGAGCAAGCTGCGAGAGAAGAGGAACAGCGAAGGTGAGTCTCGATTTTGATCACGTCATAACTACGATAAGAACAAAACTTGGCACACGGAATATTTACCAGTACAGCAGTGCACCTTGTAGAGTGATCATTGCTGACCTCATTATTTACATTTTTTCCTCACTTACATACGACTTTGCACAGAGAAGGCATCGTGCTATGTACGAATTGACTCCAAACATTTGAAGAGCTTGTGAAACTTAGTTGCTGAAGTTTTTAGCTCTTTGAGTGAGTGTAATATTCAGGGAGAAATTGGCTTTCAAAAACTGCAAAATGTCTGGATGCCCAAAGCACTAATTAATAAGCTCAAACACTGTTTGTAAAATGTTGAGGTTTTTAACCCGGGTCATACAAAAAGTGTTCAATACACTGGGCTCAAAAATGTTATAACAGTATGCCCTTTCAACATTCAGAACTGATGTTTCTCTAGTTTGATGAGAAATTGAATCACCGTTATGCTACTGCGGCAAATATTGTAAACAAAGAGTCCCTAATAAGTAGTCTGCAAAGCAATTGCGTCAAAGGCCAGTGAAAACAGGCACCACGAGTATAAATAGGAAAAGTCAAAACTGATAAGATATATTTACATCGGTTGAAAGCTAAAACAATGGTTTGTATTCAAACAGTACAATAATTATTAATCGATCACCGATCACTGCTGAGTTCAAATACTTGTATTCGTTCCCAGACTAGCCATGACTGAACAGGAGCGCAGGGACCGGGAACTAGCCTTAAGACTTGCACAGGACCCTGATGCTGTGGACACAGAAGCGGCGCAACAGGTCCCCCAGTCACCAATTCAGAGGTAAGCTGACAACTTTATCTGTATCAATAGACCCTTTTAAGGGTTTTTTTTTTTCGCCACGTTCCAGTGTAGTATTCATGCCTTATAAGGGCTCCAACATTGACATTTCAAGACCCGAATGCAAGCTTGAGGAGTAGTATATGAGGGAATGCGATTGCACTGTTACAGGAATTGCACGAAGCCGGATGGCTTCCTAGCTCCGACAGACAAAGTCTGTTGAAACCAAAACACTTCGCTTAGAGGAACAAACTTAGTGGTTGTAGGAGGATAACGGAATGTCAATTAGCTTCTTCAGAATTAACAGTTTTGTAAAGTGCAAAATATGATTTGTAGACCTCATATACAAAACTGGCATGATTCTCGGTCAGGTCGAGGTCGCTCCGCCGCTCTTACTTCGTCCTCTCCCAAGGAAAAGGATCTTACTGATCTAATTTAGCGGAACATAGCTGTATGGGAAGCGTGTTGTCGATTTTCGAAGTTTTTAATATTTATTTTTGAAAACATTCCTCGCAAAATTCAGCAAGGTTGTTCAAAAAAATGTATGCGTTATCTGCTGCAGAGTCTATAAGCCTCAAAAGAGACAACTTTGCCTCAACACTGAATATCTATCTTCTTGCCAAATCCTGTCGATGCCTGTTTGCACCAGAATCTGCGTTTTGCGCTAAAATTAGAATCCTCCATTTTTGTGCAGAGCGACACCAAACCGAGAGAAAAAGAAGCACGACTTAACGTCGTGGAAATACGCGGAGTTACGTGACACTATTAACACTTCATGCGGTGAGTTTTATAATCCCCTGTCTTCCCCTCTGAGTATGTAGGAAATTCTGTTTAAGTAGGCTAAGTACTCCGTCAGTTCCATGGCTGTTACTGAGTACCCCATTTTTTTGAGGACAAGAATGCTGTTACCCTCGAAGGACCCTGTTTCGGGAAGAGTTGTAAAGTCGACTAAATTAAGGCTTTAAGACACACTACTTAGGCCGGTTCCGATTAAAATTAACTATCGAAATATAAATGAAATAGTCAAAAATATATATATCATGTGGTTAAGGAGTGCTCACGGTCAAAATGAGCCGAAAAAGAGTAGAAAAATAACTTTGTATGAGTACGTAGTTCAGATGTTCTTTTGTATCTGTTCATTCACTCTGCCACTGCCCCAGTGCAAGAGCTCCCATAAATCTCGTGATCTAACCTCGTTAGCTGGCTTTTTTTCCCCCAGATATTGAGCTTTTGGAAGCTTGCCGACAGGAATTCCATCGCCGACTCAAGGTATACCACCAGTGGAAGAAACAGAACAAGGGCCGAGTGACAGACCCTCAGGGAGCCCCTCAAAGGGCACCTCAAGACATCGTGCAAGCAGGTAAGTTCTTTTGCACTTGAAAAAGGACCCGGAAGGCCATTTAGACAATCTAGGACCAATATCATTTAGGGGACAAGAACAAGAGTCCTCCAACTGAAGCGTTGACTTATAGACTCTCTTTTATTTCTGTTATATCTTGCAGCGGAAAACGCCCCACCCCTTCCACCCCGACCCAGTCGCCAGGAACAGACTGCCACCCCATCCCTCCCCCCACGCAGGCCTCAGAGGTATTTCCGTGTGCCGTTCATGCGCCGTTCAAATCAGTATCGAGACACCGACTTCAAGAAGCAGGGCTTGTGGTAAGTGTCAACACCATCTATTGGTATCTTATTTTTTTACAGAAATAAACTTTGACAGCTTTTACCGTAAAAGAAAGTGGGTTTTTTTAAATTTCCTTTTTGCTTTAAAAGCGACGGCCACTAGTCACTCTTGGGTTCGGTCACATCTGGGGAGGCAGCGTGGCCCAATGGCTAGGGAGCCGGACTTGAAATCTGGAGATCGCGTTTTCAAGTCCCACTCTGACCACTAAGCTTGAGTTGTTTCTCGGTGGTCCCGAGTTTAACTCCTCGGTCATGTTTGTAAATAGCCAACTGGTCTGCCTCCTGCCAGTTGGGATTTTTAAGCCTGTTGTTTTTAGTTGATATATTTGGTTCTTTCAGTATAATAAGTTGCAGGCTTGTGAGCTAGCTAGGTGTAGCTACGCGTATTGACCACTATTAACAACAACATCTGAGCCATTAAATTTTTGGGGGGGAGGTCATTTTCGGAGAGGAGCTTTTGATCTTCTTTGTTAACGGTACTTTCGACGCGCAAAGTTTCTCCCTACTTGAGAAAAGCGATGTGTGACATGGGTCGCCGTGACATTGGTTACGCAAAGTAGACGATACAAGCGAGTAACGTCACATGTCACGCCACGTGCGGTGTATCTGTTGCAGGTATGCACACTTTGATGGACAATGGATCGCGCGCCAAATGGAGCTGCACCCAGGACAGCCTGCCCTGCTGTTGGTGGCTGGCGAGGACGACCTGGACATGTGCGAGCTGAGTCTTGACGAGACAAGACTGAGCATGCGTCAGGGAGCTGAAATCACTCTCAGAGATTTTGAAATAGAGTGGCAGAGAAATGGAGGAGCTCCCAGACAGTACCAAGCCAAAATGTACCAGCAACAGTTTTCAAATCAATGAGAAGAACAATGCCGGCCAAATGTATGGAGTAAAGAAGGGTTAGGGAAGGAAACATGACATCATTTAGCTGCTAAAGAATTCGTTAGTCTTTTAATCTCATATGAATTGTTCGTACCACGATGTTTATACCTCCATTACAGAGTCACCTCTTGCCTGTAATTCAAGCAATGCCTGGTGTTTAACCTCGATTGAGTTCGATCTGCATGAAAATAACGATACATTAAAATTCCTTTTGGTTTGAGAGGTTTTTCACTAGACTTTGTTTTAAGACAAAGGCGACCGCGGAATGGTCAGTTGCGTTTGTTGTAGTCATAGGATGCTCATTAAATCAATCATTTGTGCAATACTTTTGTTTTAAAGTACACGGTTCGGATAAATGAGGTGGGGGCATGTTGCTTGGATAAAACTATAGTAACGTTGAAAATGACAGTTAAGATAATTTTTAAAATGTACCGTGTTGTAATATATTTCAGCTCGGTAAAAGTCGACTTTAGCCAGTTGTTGGTGAAGCGGGCGGAACAAAAAGCGGAAAATAAAACATAAAGAAAATAAACGCGTCAAGTAACCCAAGAGGGAGTTTAATGCCTGGTGCAGTCCTTCTTTTCTCTGGTTCATAGTCTAGAGCCTGGAACTGCCTAACTCGAATGTAGTGTTAGTATTAGTTTTCTAATTTAGTCAGAGACGCATAAATTGACGGGCAAGGTAGGGCAGTTCACTGGAAGATTTGAACGAAAATGTCATCTAACCGCACCGCCAGAATTCCTTTTGGTTTCTTCTTTCAATTAGATTTCCAAAACCCATTGATTCAAATGTAAAAGTATTAGCATAATAAAAGTCATCCTTTAAAAAGGATACTGGTCATTTTGGTCAAACAATACGGCCGTGCCTACCACGCACTAGGATTTAATGCATCGGTTTTTTCGTATTTGTTTGGACAAATAATGTAAAGGAAAATCAAACATCTGAAACACTAGACTTGTGAAATTGGAATAAACTAACGGGTTAATTATCATCTCCTGTCAAAGAGGCTCTAAGCGTGTTTCAGTCTTACGAATCCAAATCATGCTCTTTGAGGTGACTCAGTCACGCTCAGTCACGCCAATTTAAGTGATTCTGTCACGCCGGGTCATGCTTTATCGTTCTAGGTCACGAAATTTTTCATTCACACTATTTCACTTCAATTTATCATGACGCCATGTCACACTAGTTCATTAATAGGTCACGCTATTTCAGGTAATTTCGCCACTACAAATCGCGCTATTTGAGGTGGTTCTTTGGCATGTAAACTAATTTCCAAATTCCATCGAGCGGACTAAAATTGGACAAATCACTTTCGAGTCATCCAAAGGGCCATCATTTCATTAACGAAATTATCTTGGACATTTGATGACTAATTGAATTTTCTCCTTTACAATTAGAGATAGGCGTGACACTAAAAATGTGAATTGCTACCATTGAATTTAG